CAGCCCTGCCACATGTAAGCAGCAAGAACTGTATAGCTGGTTCGACTACTTGTGTGAGAATGCCTTGCCACTTAAAAAGGAAAGCATACTGCACTATTGGCACCAGTTGCTAGGCAGCACACTTCTAACGGGAGGGGTTATTCTCCCCTATGGTTACTATGGAACCTTTAAAAAGCAGCAGTTAAAAACCACCACAATGGCCAATTGGCAAAGCCCATCCTATTAGATTTGTGGTTTTGTTTTAGGAAAGTGAGGGAAACAAGTAGTATGTGTCCTTTCTCATGAGAAATTAATCTGACAGTTATTCTGCTTTTTGCATGGCCAACTGGGCCTATCAACTCATTAAAAAAATCTCATTTAGTGAACATACCCTCAAGCAGCTTCTATACCAATTACAATCAGGAAACAAAGAATTTATATGTACCTAGATAGAATTAAAATACATTGCATCTATACACTTTGTGATTATATTATTCAAAATTCTGCTTTCAGTACTGAGGAAAATCCACATATATGTTGTAAACATTTCTTTTTATGATTGATAGCACTTTGGGCTTTCAGGCTTAGTGATAAACTTTAAGCATCTGCAAAACCATTATGGATAGCAGAGCATGACAAGGTAATGTATAAGTCTACTAAATGGTTGCAATAGGATAAATGCAGCCTCTTCACCCCCCTCTTGCTATTGTTTTTGCAAACAGTAACTGCTATATTTATTAATTATGGTTACAACAATTGCTTCTAGCATGATAAATTGTTGGTTTTGTTGTACAGCTGGTTTTACTTAAACAAGATCCATCCAAATTGGGATATACAGGTAGTCCTCAATTTTCAACCACAATTGAGACTAAAATTTATGCTAAGGCAGTCAATAAGTAAGTCACACCTAATTTTATGAACTTGTTTGTCATGGCTGTTAAGTGAATTACTGCAGTTGTTGAATCATGTGGTCTTCAAGCAAAACTGGCTTTTCTCATTGACTTTGCTGGCCAGAAAATGGCTAGGAAGGTCATAAATGATGATCAAATGAGCCTAGAATTCTGAAACTATTGTAAATACATGCCAGATGCCAAGCAACCCTGAGCATATAACTATGGAGATGCTGTGTTGGTTGTTAAGTGCGAGACCTTGTTGTAAGTCATATTTTTCAGTACCATTGTAACTTTGAATGGTTATTCAATAAATGGCTGTAAGTTGAAGACTACCTATATTTACAAGCCCAAATTTTCCAAAATATTGCTGGGATGTCTTTACTAATTTCTTTGCTCTAGTATTGAGTATAATACTAGTCATGAGTAAGAATTTGGATTTATATTCAGAAGCAACCATTAATAACTTATGTCAACTGCATTCTAATTATTATTTTTCATGGACTTGTATCATACCATATATCTCAGTATGTGGTAGTGTTCTTAAGTCAGGCAATACTTTGGGGGAATGATTTATTCCAATTTGGTCCATAATAATGAATCAAAAGTTTCAGTAGACGTCAGATATGTTGAATGGAAATTATCTAAAAAGATTTTAAAATTCCTTTATTTCCAAAGTAGACTGATGGTAACCATGAGGCCATTAAAAAATACAACTAGTTTTAGACCTATAGCTTACATTTAGTTCAGAACAAAATGCTGAATGCATTGAAATGACACATTGAAAGTGCTCAATTGTCTTTTAGCAACCAAAAATTCATGAAATTATATTCATCGTGGATGTAGGTGTAAAAGGCTAAAAATGTATATGATCTAAATAAAATAAGGAAATAATCCAGAACTCCTGTCTTAATTTTTTAAAAACTACATCAAAAGCCAGCTCACGGGAAAGGCACATAAACAGAATCTTCAAAACATTTATGGGGCTCAACATCAAGTACAAACACTCTTAAAGAACTTCTTATGTAAAATTTTTGAAAGAAATTGGATTTTTCCAGATAATAGAAATTTTGCTTACTTCACTTCAGCCTACATTGGAAATACATTACATATTGGGCTGAACTAACAGAAGTCCTTTGCTCCATCCAATTCATCCATTTAGATCTTGTTGACAAACTGTTAATAAGACTTCAGGATTGGATACATATACATTGGCAAGATAGAGCTAATTTGTCATAGTTAAGCAGCCATTTGCTCAGATGATTATTTCTAAAGAGATGAACTTCTTTCAGTTATAAGCAGCTGTTTTGAAAATTTATCATTCCAAATTTTCACTATCTAGGTTGAGACCAACTGGAAGAATTGTTGGTTCAGATTGAGACTTTAAACACAATCTCCTTCCAGATGAGTAATTTTTTCTAGTGTAGCTTTACTGCAAGCATTAGTATTAATAGCCAAAAACTAGGCAAGAACAATATGAATAGAGTTGGTTAGTTAGCAGTATCAGATAGATTCAGATATTGTAAGCCACTTAGAGTCATTGATTGAGAAACTGAATAAACAAATATCGAAAAACTGAACAAACATCGAGTATTAAATAGTTACTTAACAAAATCAATAACTGTGTGTTAGTTATGAAAACAAAACTAACATTTTCTTTAAAGTTTAATGGTAGTATTAAATTTCTGAATTACACAGTGGGCATGAATTTTGAAAAAAAAAAAAAGGTTCTTTGCATTTAAAAAATTGCCACTAATGAAAGATTAAACTTCTTACCTTGCTAAGCCAATCCCAAAGCCTGCAAACCGATTTATTTGCTCTAAAAGACAGATAACCATACATTAAAGCCAGAACGTGAGCAACACATTTCAGTATAGAAGTTTTACTATTCATTGCAATGAATTATATAGCAAATCCAAGAATTTTAGCGCATTAGGTATCTTTGTTAACTGCAGGATATAGAGTGTTTCTAAATAAGTTAAATACTTAATTTCCTTACATCTCTTAAATAATATATATTATTCCAAGTACTGTATAACTTTTTTTGGGGGCGGGGGGGGGGAAGGGGAAGTGCCTAGCATATGCCACTCAAGTGACAAGATGCTTCCAAAAAGAGACACACCTAAAGGCATGGATTGCAGACCTAGTGCTGGACAGCATCCAAAGCAAAGGATGGGTTAGCAGCACACCGTCGCCGGTGGCTTTTTAAAGCGGACCTAACCAATGAGCACTGCAGAGCAGACCTGCCTGACGCACCGGAGCACCTGCTGCCTAAGGGCGGAGGCCAGGCTCTTAACCTGCGCTTGTCACTCCCGCACTCGGCGATTTGTTTTACGCACCGGAGTTGGTGCCGGCGCCTCCTAGGTACGGGTCCTCGTTGAGGCCAGCCGCCACCAAAGGTGTGCCTGCGGCAAACTGCGGCGTCTTTTCGCCCCAATGGAGATTGCGGCTGCCAGGAATGTCAGGCGGGGTAGTGACCCAGTGGCCTAGGTCCGGCTTGGCCGCGAAGCCTCCGGGCTCCTCTCGGGCGCTCCGATAGCCCAGCCCGTCGAAGCCCTCGGGGCGCCGCGGATGCATTGGGCAGTGAAAGCAGGCAGGATCGGGGAAAACAAGCAAAGAGACAGAAGCGGGAAGAACCAAGAGCTGCGACTCCCACTTTCTAATCTTCACTTCCGGGTGTCAACCGGAAGCAAACCCCGTTAGCTTGCCGAGCGATATGACTTCGCCTAGCTAGGAACGTAGGGTTCGTCCGAGCTTGGCGACTACCGGGAAGTTGAGGGTAGTTGGTTAGGACTGGGGCGGGGATTTTACTCTGCTGCACCCCACTGTCTTATTTCTAAGGATATTAACCTATGTAGTAGGGCTGTATTACTATTACCCTTCTCATCTTTCCTATTACTTTCTATTATTGGTGTCTTATGATATTACTTTGTATGTACACTGAAAGTTTATGCACTGCAGGCAAATTTCTTGGTTATCCAATACATTTGGCCAATAAAGAATATTCTATTATATTCTAAATGGAGAGAAAAATGTATTGAAACTTGATCTGTCTGAAATATTTGTGGTTGAAGATATTAAAATAGACGGTATTTCAATTTATCTTCGAATTATTACTTTTATTCATGAGGAATTTTCCTATCAATCAAAAGTCCTTACAATGTTGTAAATCATGTATTCTAGTAGATGATATATGTGCTATATGTAATACAGGTAGTCCTTGATTTAAACCACAATTGAGCCCACAATTTCTTTTGCTAAACAATTTTGTGATTTTTTAAAACACTACAGTTTTTAAGTTAGTAATATGGCTGTTAAGTGAATCTGGCTTACTCACTGACTTTGCTTGTCAGGAGGTCACAAAAAGTGACCATATGATCCCAGGACATTGCAGTTGCTAAACATTCGAATTTTGATCACATGACCAAGATGATGCTGCAAAGGTCATAAGTATGAAAAATGATCATAAACTACTTTTTTTCAGTGCTGTTATAACTTCAAATGCTCACTAAATGAATAATTGTAAATCAAGGATTACCTCTACTACTGATTTTTGATAGAAATCCCATAAACTTTCTGGGCAATTTTGACTACATTGGTGGACCTCCTTTTTTGTCTATAATTTTAAAGGAAGCTCACACTCGCACCCCATCCATCACTGAGAAATGAATGCGTAAATGTTTGAGTTCCCAAGAACTTTTCAGATAAATAGTATAAAAAAGGGGCTCAGGGAAGAAGCAGATAAATACAAAATTAGGTAAGCTGCATCACCCAAGTGGTTTACCAGAATTGCATTTGTGAATCAAATAAATAGTTAATATTGGTCATCTATTCAGGAGGAAGAAAGAAATAGGTTAGTGGTACTTCTGAACACACAAAGGCGAATTTATTTTGGATTCACCGCCCACATTTTATTTATTGGGCTGGGGTGCATTTGTTTAAAATACTTAAATTCCCAGAGGACAGACCTCCTCCGCCTCCTTCCGTGTCTATTGCCTTCAGTTCGCAAAGAAAGGCCAGAAAAAACGCAGTGAAAGGAGGGAAAAATGAAACAAACCACATTTGTCATTAAAAAAATTGATCCCCGCTACACATAGCTCCGGTTTACAGCAGCGGCATATACAAAACGCGGCGCAGGAATAACCGCCAGGGAGCCGGGATCTCAAGCGGCACTGATGAGCTTCTCCTCTCCCACTCCGTGAAGTCCCTTCCTGCTGCGTCGGTGGCAACGGTCGCCACGACTCATTAAAACCCCGCGAAGGGATCGCGTGGGGCCGAGATCCTGGGCGCTTGTCCTTTTCGCCTCCTCCTCCGAGTAGGGTAAATTTAACAAGACGGTCACGGACGAGGTTCAAAATCGGGAGCTTCCCAAAGGGATGATTTTAATCCCGGCAGGTTGCCTGGTAACCCGGTTAGGCGCTGTCCTTAGCACTGGATCGTGAGCTGCTGTTCCACGTTTTACTTAACGCCCGCCCAGGTGAAGGGCAGCACGGAGTGGACTGTGGAGGGGTTGAGAAAGTTAAGCGGGTTCTTCGGACCTGCTTCGTCCTCGTAGTGGAAACTATATCTGAAGAAACCGCTGAGAAATCACTTCCATTCTGCGGGGAGAAAACAGTAGGAGTAACAGGTAGTACGAGAGCTTGCTTAGGTGAGGGTGGGGTTCTGAGCTGAAAAGTTTCTGAAGACCAGCTAGAGGGCGGCAGTTAGCACAGTCTGTTATTTCTATCTGTTTCTGCATGTTTTAAATCGGCCCCTTTTCCCATTCACAAATGATATTGCATTTTTATTAAATAGCATTTGTTTAGGCAGAAACATCCTGGGCTCCTGATTATTTGCCAGTACAGCCTAACATGGCTCTCTTCCTACGGTGTTTGTATATTCTGCTATCACATAATCATTGTGAGCGTGATTGAAGTCTTCGTTGGTGTATATTTGCCAACAGAGATGTTACAGGGTGCTTGTAAGTCAGTAGAAAGAAAATGGGCTAAGCTGTCCTTCAGAAAGGGTTTCTGAAACCAATGGATAAGCAGACATCAAAGAGCCCTTATTCGATCGATGACATGACAAAGTTTGATTTCATTGAGAGACACCTAAGTGGAGTAGTTTAAATTATTTGTTATATATCACTTTAAGAATGCAATTGTTTTTAAAATTATTAAATGACTTCTATATGACCAGTTGCTGTAGTAGTTAAGCTGCTGGCCTAGAAACCAGGAGACAGTGAGCTTCCCAAATCCTGTTGGGAGACTTTTAAATTTCACATACGCACAACGCATCTTTTTAATTGACACTTTTTACTATTTATTCCTTTTATATTCCAAGTCACAGTCTTCCATATGCCATGGTCACCCTTAGATGAGTCTCTAGACATTGATCTCCACCACCCCTCCTAGAATTGGTTAATTGAGCTTTTAGGATAATGTTTTATTAAAAGAAAAGAATAAATGTCTTTGTTATAGCCACGCAAAACATTTTTTTGCTAACTATAAGGACAATATTAGTCATTTTTGCAACAGTGTGGCTGTTGCAACAGTGCAAGTGGATCCAGTTTGCAACAGTGTGGCTGTTGCAACAGTGCAAGTGGATCCAAAGCCAATATTGTTGCCCTAGCTATTTATTGTCACTCTACATAGGCTACATAGTCTTTTTCACATCAAGATGAAAAAATATTTTAAGCAGTTTTACATGATGTACAGAATAGTAAAAATACATTGCTTTTCTCTGTCCCTTCCTCAAAAAGTACAAGAGTTCAGGAAAGAAATATCTCATAAGGAATCTAGAAGCCTTTGCTAAAAGGTGGATTCAATGGCAGTGCAGTGTGCTTCTTATCCTACTACCATGTTGTGTGTGTGTGTGTGTGTGTGCGTGTGCGCGTGCGAGAGAGAGAGAGAGAGAGAGAGGGAGGGAGGGAGGGAGGGAGAGAGAGGGAGGGAGAGAACAAGCTGGGGCGTGAGTAGCAAAATTTCTCATTCTAGAAAAAAGTGGCAGTGTGATTAAGTTCAATTCAGTTTTAGATTGAGATATTTTAAATAATGCAGCAATTTCAGTTAACTGGGATAAAAATACTTTCTTAACATTTTCATTTATGTGAACCAGTGTATAGCCATTTAAATATTTCGAGTATCATAACATAAACAGGAGTCGGTGAGATAGTGTCTGTGGGTACCATAATGCATCTTTTCCCTCCCAGAGATCATTACACAAACATGTGCACACACTGCTGTTTGTGAGGTGCATTGGCTGCCGGTTTTTCTCTGGGTGCAATTCAAGGTGTTGGTTATCACCTTTAAAGCTCTGCCTGGCTTTAAAGTCAGGTTACCTGAGGAACCATTTCACCTTGATAGGAATAGCCTTCCCCACCTATATGACAGAAGAGGTTATGCTGCAGACCCCATCAGTTAAAGATTTTCAACTGATGGGGTCCAGGAGAAGAACTTTTTCTGCCATAGATCCTGTCCTTTTGAACATTGTACCACCCCAGGTGAGATCCACACCCACTTTTCTGACCTTCTGAAAGAGCCTGAACATCTGGCTGTGCCAGTTGACCCAGTGCCCCTTCAGGGGTGCACCATTCCGGAGGTGACTATTGGATTAGGAAAGACCCCACCTCTATCTTTGTGCTTCATGTTTGCCTCCTCTCCATCTTTTAATGGTATTTATTATAAATTTGATTTATTGTTTTATTATTTTAATGTGTACTAGTTTAATGTTTGCCTCTGACAAAATGGCAAAGGTAAAGGAGTCCCTGCAGGTTTTTACTTTGCTAGAATACTTATATCCGATTTAGGAGGTGGTGCTTATCTCTGTTTCTAGGGTTAGGCCTTTGAGTTAGTGGTGTCTGAATATGTTTCTGTGGTCAAGTGGCCAGCATGACATCACACCGCAGTGCAGAATGTATGGTGTAAGTGCTGTTACTTTCTCCCTTAAGTGGTACCCATTTATCTACTCGCATTTGCATGCTTTGCCTGATGACATGGGCAGCACATAAATTTAATAAATAAAATAGTTTAAGGTCCTGAAATGACATATACTTGGACCTCATTAGAAAGCAATGTAAGTAGATGTAATCTACTGCCATATAAAAGTCCAATTTCTCAAACATCTAATGTTTCAAATTTCATGCTCTTTCTTGTAATTTAATTTTTCATGTGTTAGCCTATTTGAATAGATATTTTCTTTTGTTAACTTTTAACTAAAATTAGTTGTTGAGTTTTCAGAGTAGCCATTATCTGAAAATTGCAGACAAATTGTGGCTTTGAAATTTATAGGCGGTGAGAGAAATGTCAGTAAATCCTGATAGTAGCTGTGAGTGCTGTTGGAATACTGAGTGACTGATGATGCTCTCAGTTATTTAATGTTAGGAAAAGAAGGAGAGTCTTGGACATTTAGGCTGTGTCTTTCTTCTGACCTGTCACCAGACAGACTCAGGAGTGTGCAGGACTACTGATAAAAGTTCTCTTTCTAGAAATGTACCCCAGCAAAAACAAATCAGTCACTGCAGATGACCTTTCCTGAGATAATCTGCATTATAAGCATAATGCAGATTTTTAATTACTCCTTAACTAATATAGAATTTGTGGTGAAAAGCTGTTTTTAAGTTGAATTTATTTGATAAAATTTGATCAGATTTATATGGAGCACAATTTACTTAAGCTTTTTTTGTTCCCAGAATAGAGCATTTTTTATAAGAGGAAATATATGAAATAATCTATACTATGGATTTAACCATGTTTTCTAACTGAAGTGGAGCATCTATAATTTGCTAAAGTTTAAATTAAAAAAAAAAAAAGCCAAGCAGGATTGTTTCTTGGCAGATAATAAGGCATCTAATAATAGCTTCCTCTACTAATGATTAAATGTATCATATTCCATTTTTTATTTGTTTCAGAAGGAATATTTTAGCCAAAGGCAGAACACCAGTAGTACTCACAAAGGATAGTTATGGCTTGGCTTATATAAATGAATCCTTTTATCACAATAAAGTAGTAATTATTTGGCACTCTCATGAGTTTATCCCCTATTTTAAATGTTTTCTCTGTGTATTTCCAGATAAGATTTTATTCTGTGATTATTTTGCCTCATGTTATACTGTGGAGATGTGTGGAGCCTGCAAGATATCTATATTGTCTGAAGGCTGGTGCTTTCCAATGGTTCTCTGTTTCTGATTAATTGTTTTAATTTATTTACACAAGTTTGTTGTTGCTGTTTTAATTAGTGAGATATCATGTAAGTGAGATGGGCTTCTGTTTAAATTGAACAAAACAAAATAAATGAACGAAATAAATAATAAATTTGTAACATTCCTAGCTTTTTTCATAAGGAAGATTTTTTTTATTAAGGAAAAATGTGGAATTGCTGCATTATTTATCTTAGTTATTGGTACTTTCTGGAAATATCCTTTATTTTCATTCTCTTAATCCCACTAGTGGTATAAACAATGGCAATTTTAGTTTTCTAATCTGTTTATGTGGTAGGATTCATAGTAATTCTACTGTCTTTGAGATCATTAACACAGCCCTAAAGAGAGTTCCAATGACAAATGCCACAATGAACTGTATTGGATTTTATTCAGAGTAAATACACATTAGATTAGAGTATGATGAAAAGAGGCTGTAATCCTGACCATACAGTAGAGTAAATTTTGTTGAATTTATGGAATGATTACAGATCATGACTATTTGTTCAGCAATGGTTCAAATTTAGGACAATGTTGATCAAGGGAGACTTAAAACTGGTCCTTGAAGTTGTGGCCATCACAGCATGCATGCAATCACTTGATTGTGATTTGGACTTGAGGCAACTGGTTTACAATTACAACAGTTGTAGTATCCCATAGTCACTTGATCGCCATTTGCAACCTTTCCTGCCAGCTTCTCAGAAGGAAAGTCAGTGGGAAAACTGGCAGGAAGTTGCAAGATGCTCTTGCTGGTGCTGCTTTTTCGCCTGCCTCTCTGTGGTATCCACCCACCTGCCTCTGCTCTGTAGCATTTGTCTGTGGCACCTGATTGTGCACCATTCTCACCCACTGCCCTGCCTGCTTGGGACTCCTTCCTTTTCTTCCTTAGAGACATGTGCAATCCTGGGTTATGACAGGAACTGGGACTGCTAGGATTGCTGCTGTTGTGTGATACAGTCACATGACATCACACCTTATAACCTCATCACTTAGCAACAGAAATTCTGGTTCCAGTTGCCATTGTAATCCAAGGTTTACCTGTATTTCTGATAATAGCATAGGATCTCCACTATGTCCTTAGATAGCCTTAAAACCAAACAGTGGTTTTAAATGGATCATCTATTATGTGGTTTCCTTAATGCTACAGGTATAATTTTATTATAAGGTATTTCTGATGTGATGATTATAGCCTTCTTTGGAGGCTATAATGAAATATATACCGGTATCTGGATAACATTTATACAGTATACTGTATATATCCAGCAACTGTCAATGGTTGTCTCCCCCCAAAGACCCCCCAAAGGGGTATATTTTACTTCTGAATTTTATAAGCAATTATTGTTACATTTATAGTATCAATGATATAATTTAAATTATATTTTAGGAGTTTATATTTTAACTCATGATGTAATTTTAATGGACATTTCCATTATTTAGCTCTATTTTGTGGATAATATTGTAATCCTTTTATATTATATTGCCTACCACATACCAATTATTACCAGTAATAACATTTAAATTGATTAATCAAACATCATGCTAGTCTAGTATGGTGGGTAATTAACTATCTGATCAAGAAGTAATAATGAAATAGAGAGATTAGAATAAATCAAACAGTTTGGCATGATTCCAGATGCAATTCAACTTAATTATATTTTTTGGATATAAACAGCATAACATATTGCAATTTTAACTATTCTATTATGAATATTTGATTAACATAAATGTAGTTTAAATTGTTTTCTAAGTGGAGTGCTAAAAAAACCCTAAGTTTTTAAAATTGCCGTTCTTTTTAGGATATCCGCATTATTGGTTTTGTTTTGTTTTGTTTTGTCTTTTAGTTCCCTGGAGTACATGACAGAAAACTTTTAAAGTTTTCTGTAGAGGAAATGATAATTTTTCCTTTTGGCTATACTGTTTTTGTTTTAAGATTGAATTTACAACACTATGCCCATTTTAAAAGTGCCGGTGCGTTATAACTTTGGCATTGTGTCCCATGATGAGCATGAAAAGCTTCATCGGAGACTGGTGACTGAATATCTGAAAAAAGGGTTGGCTGATTTCAAGATAAAACCACGTAGGTAAGTTTAAATATTCATAACTGATACAGTATTTATACCTTCAGTGTTTTCAGGGTTCTCAACCCATGTCTTAAGGAAAAGAGCAAGTCATCTAAACATTTCAATAGAGTTTAAATAAAATGCCATCAAAATGTAGAAAATGAAAGATATAGTGTACATTGCGATAGGTCGCACATGACCTCACCTTTGCCTTTTCAGCCTATGCTTCCTGTACAGGTAGTCCTTTGTTAACCACTAATTCAGTGACTGAAGTTATGTTGACACTGAATCAGGGGTGAAATCCAGCAGGTTCTAACAGGTTCTGGAGAGCCAGTAGCAGAAATCTTGAGCAGTTTGGATAACCAATAGCGGAAATTTTGAGTAGTTTGGAGAACCGGCAAATACCACCTCTGGCTGGCCCCAGAGTGGGGTGGGAATGGAGATTTTGCAGTATCCTTCCCCTGGAGTAGGGAGGGAATGGAGATTTTGCAGTATCCTTCCCCTGTTACGCCCACCAAGCCATGCCCACCAAGCCACATCACACTCATCGAGCCACACCCACAGAATTGGTAGTAAAAAATTTGGATTTTACCACTGCACTGAATGAATAGTACTTATGATCTGTGCTTGAAGTTCTGGCTATCCCAGTACTCCTGCAGTCATCTGATCACAATCTGAGCATTGGGCAGGTGGCTTGCACTTACGATAGTTGCGATGTCTCTTGATCTCTGCTGGCTTCTCACAAGCAAAGTCAATGGGGAAGCCAGCAGGGAAGGTCACTCCTGTAAATCACTCCCCTTCCCATCACTTTTTCTCCCAAAGAACCTAGCCAGGAGTGTGAGATCCCAGGGTTCTCTTATTCTGTAGTGCACATATGCCTTATATGTGGTGCCATGGCTGCACTTGTGTGGTGCCACGGGCAACCACACACATATCTTTCTGCCACCAACAGGAGCTATCATGACCTGGTTACATTTGTGTTGGGCTGTGGCTTGTGCACTCTCTTGTTGTCTGGAGCCCCCCTTCCCCCCACCCATGCTTGGCTGTCATCATATCATGCCATAGCAACTACTTACCTGCCCACTAACCTGCTTGCAAGCTGCCTAGGACTTGTAACTTCCTGTTGTCTTACTCATTAAATTTACTTGAAAGAAGTGGGTGGGAAGTTGTGAGGAAGATTTCACTTGATGAGCCACGATCCTTGCTTAATGACAGCAATGAGGATTTTCAGGATTGCTGTTGCTAAGCGGTGCTGTCATGTGATATTGCGCTTTACAATTGCATCACTTAGTGATGGAAATTCTGGTTCCAATTTTTGATGTTAACTGAGGAGTACCTGTAAATTCTTCTCTGGATCATTTTTTGGTGCATATTATTTACTGTATGTAAATAATACTTTCCATATGTACAATAGCAAATTGTTCCAATGGTGGTATCTGTACCACTTGTGGACAGGCAGATACTATTAGATTTCAGTCAAAGGTAGGAAAAATTAACATAAATACCATGTTTCCCCAAAAATAAGACAGGGTCTTATTTTCTTTTGAACCCCGAAATAAGGGCTTGGCCTTATTATTGGGGGGGGATGTCTCATTATTTTGGAGGTGCAGGAGTCCTGGGCGGTCTGCGCAATCATAGCCGGGAGTCCAGCAGAGAGAGGTTCCCTTTGTGTGCCGCCATCAAGCCCCTCCCCTCCTGCAAGGTGTGTGTGTAGAATGTGAGCACCAAACCGCGTGAGTGCCTGTCCCCCCCTCGCTCGCGCACCTCCAAGGCCTCACCATGTCGATGTGGGCGAAGCCGGTGAGCACCATGTCCTTGAGCTCATAGCAGAAGCCATGGCCTAGGCCAGCTCTCCCTGCAGGCTCCAGCTCCAGCCGTCACCATAGAGTGGGAAGCACACTCCCAGAGTGGCCGCTGCCCTGGGTGGGGTTTGGAAGCCGCAGAGGCAGAGTTTGGGGGAGAGAAAGAAAGGCTTCTGCTTTTGGCTGCATGCAAGGAAAGCAGCAGAAGCAGCAGAAGTCTTTCTTTCTCTCCCCCAAACTCTGCCTCTGAGCCAAACCATAGCGCAGGCTATGTGGATGCGGCGTGTGGGAGAGAGCGGGCGGGCCACTACCATGGAGCAGTAGCAGGTGCTCGAAGTTTATGGTTGGTGCCATGGGTGGCGAAAGGGGCGAGGGGGGTGCAAGAATTTGCAGGGATGTGGCTGCCTTGGGACGATTGGGGGGGTGAGGGACCTGTGTGTGTGTGTGTGAGAGAGAGAGAGGGGGGGCTTATTTTGGGGGGAGGGCGTATATTTAGGTCCACCCCAAAAATAAAGCCCTTATTTTCAGGACATGTTTTATTTTCGGGGAAACACGGTAATAAGGAAATGTAATAACTATCTGTTTAGGGAAAAGGGGGAATAAGAAACCAAAATAATCTTAGCGCTTAAACTGAGTTAACAAAAATAAATCTGACCTTCATATTTAGGAACTAGAATATTATCCCATGCCCTGGAACTTACTTGAAACTATTCATAAGATTCATGCTTAAGAAATTAACTCTCTATTCTAACTGAATAGATGGAGTGAAACTCTTAATTTCTTTTCTTGGGCTCATTACTTAGAATAATATTATCTGTTTGCCTCAATGAAATAGTAGAATCCATATTGAATCTCATCTGTGAGTCAATATCAGTAGTGTCCTGTCAGATGAATTTAAATACATTTTAAAAATTGATTTGAAGAGTTTGCTATCACCACATTAAATGGAATTTTTATATGACATTAATTTTCTTGATGAGAACTAATAAAATTAATTTCTGTTATACCTTCTTAAAAAATAAAGGAAACAGAGGATAAATTACTGTTTGAGGATGGTGGTAATGTTACTTAAATACACCTCCTTGTGTTCTTGACAAAATGTGTTGTATCTTAATATCTTATAGATCTGTTTGTATCTTGTAGAATATGAAATCAGAAGTTGATTAGTGTAATCATTTCTGGCCTGCAAAACCCAGGCAAGCACTAGGCATAATTTGGAATAAAGATAAGGATAAGGATAATTTTATTTCTATACCGCCCCTCTCCCGAAGAACTCGGGGCGGTGTACAGCCAGGTAAAAACACAATACAAATATCACAATTTAAATTTAAAAAAATATTAAAAGTATTACATTTAAGGCCAATTAACTAAAAAACCCAAAAATTTAAGAATTCCAAATTTAAAGCTCAATTATGAAGCAAGCCCTGCCTGTCGGAAGAGCAGGGTCTTAAGAGCACAGCAGAGGTCAGAGATCTTGCGTATGTCCGGGGGCAGTTCATTCCAAAGGGCAGGGGCTCCCACAGAGAAGGCTCTCCCCCTGGGTGTCGTCATAATTTGGCCGACGGCACCCTGAGGAGTCCCTCTCTGTGGGAGCGAACTGGTCGGTGGGAGGCTATCGGTGGCAGAAGGCGGTCTTGTACCCAGGTCCTGAGCCATGGAGCGCTTTAAAGGTGGTAACCAACACCTTGAATCGCACCCGGAAGACCACTGGGAGCCAGTGCAGCTCGCGCAGGAAAGGTGTTACATGGGCGCAACGAGTTGCACCCATAATTACCCTCGCGGCCGCATTCTGGACCAGTTGGAGCCTCTGAGTGCTCTTCAAGGGGAGCCCCATGTAGAGAGCATTACAGTAGTAATGTAACCTTTCTTCTGCAGGCTTGCTCCTTTCCTGATTTCACTTAAGAAGATGCTGAAAATGAGTTACTTTGCAGAGTGTTTTAGCTTAGATCTTGCCATCAATTTATTTTCATTGATTTCTTCAAATAGCTTTTTTATATTGCTTTGTTTTAGTTGTTAATTTGCACCTTGGATAATTTAAGGTTATATTGTATAAATCAGTGAGAGTCATTTTTAATTGTGGTAAAATATATATGCAATAAATAATTATATAAATAACAGAGGAGATGAAAGAGATTCTGCCACCTTTAACAATTCACTAGCTCCTATTAGACATCTGGACTTTTTCAGCCCATGTATAGTCGTCCCCCCCTCTCTCTCCCCCTTACCCCCTCTCTTTCACACACACATACATGAAATTCATCTGTCTTATCATAAGTATATTGCTATCAGTTGGTAGATTAATAATGTAAGAAGAGGACTTCTGACTGATGTCGTGGTGAGATCGGACATGAGGAGCATGTCTCCGCGTTCCCACACTGAATTCTCCCCGTTAGAGGGCTCCAAAAGGAGCTAAAGCCAACCTGGAGGGGTGGTGAAGAAAGGAGGGGTGCCCTGCAGGTCATGGAGACTCGCAATCTCTCCCACTTGATTCAGGGCTTTCTTCCTCTCGCTCACGAGGAGAAGAGGCAGCCATTTTTGTCTCTAGCTGGCAACAAAGAAAGTACAGGAGTGGTGTAAATGAACAGTGAATGGAACTGGGTGAGATTATTCCTTTTTTACCTAAAACCTAATCCTAAAAAAAAAAGAGGAGGAAAAAAAATTCAGAAGAGACTCTCAACTATTTGTTAAAGTGGTGAATAACTATATATAGAAAAACTACAGGCCTGAAAGAAAGGAACTAAGAGGGGGGAAGTTAATAATTCCAAAGCAAAGAAAATTGGATGGTTAAATTGGACAGGCTTTATTTTGGAAAGGCATTTTAAAATGCTGGATCTATTTATTTTAATAATTGACCTTCCTTTTATCAATTGAATTAAAATTGGATTAAATAATGTTAAAATAATACAATACACTTATCATGAAGAGTTCATAGCATCCTACATCTATCATTACAGATTATTCCAAGAACTATAGCTGAGGAGAATTGATTATTTCATGCATAATTAAATTCTTACTCCAAGGTGCCTTACAATATATCATCATGGTATATGTCATAGCTTGATACAATGATGACTTCCTAGCAAATATATGCTTAGTGCAATAGACATAGATACATTCATAAATTATTAATGGTTATTTCTTATAAAAATGCAATCCATTAATCAATGTCATTAACTTCAAAGCAGTATGATGGTCATACTGGTCATAATTAATATATTTCTGTTGACCACTGATATAACATACTTACTAGCTTCGTACAAGTGGCCCTTGTTTAACAACCACTCATTCAGCAACTGTTTGTACTTGCAGTGGTGCTGAACAAGTGGTAGTTATGACTGGCCTTCAAAAATTCTGGTTGGCACACCACTCCTTTAGTCATGTGATTGCGATTTGTGAGGTTCCCTGCCAGCTTTCCACAATGAGAGTCGGGGAAGTTGACAAGTATTTTGGAAGTCATGATCAATTGAGGTCCTTGCCTAATGACCTACAGCCGTGATGGTGAACCTATGGCACACATGCTGGAAGTGGCATACAGAGCCATCTCTCCGGGCACGCCAGCTGTTGCCTGTTGCTCTTCCGGATTCTGGCCAGCTGGTCTTTGTGCACGCATGCACGCCAGAAACCAGAAGGCCAGGTGACCAGTGTGCATGTACATGCTGTAAACCAGAAGCTCAGCTTCCCGGCGCACACATGTGCACTGGGGAACTGCTTTTCCGGTTTCCGGCGCTCCCACACGTGCGCACCAGGGAGCTGCTATTCCAGTTTCTGGTGCTTCCCCCATGTGTGCACGCTCCCGTTTCAGCACTCAGTGCCGAAAAGGTTCACCAACACTGACCTACAGGATCCTCACAATGATACAGACTGCCAGAACTGTTGTTGCTAAATGATGAAGTTGTGATGTCACACTTTATGACTGCATTGCTTAGTGATGATAATTCTGGTCCCAATTACTGTTATTAACTGAGGACCACCTGTATTGTCAATATGGAATTACTCTAGTGACTAGAGTAGGAATTACTAGAGTAATTCCACATTGGAATTACCCAGTTACTCTGAGTAATATTTCAATTTCTGCCTTGAAAGTAAAGAAGATAGATACCATTGTATAAGTTAGTTTTTTTTTCTTAGTCTGCTAATAGGAAGTATGATTTTTACTCTTTCAAAGATATTCTGCTCTGTCTCTGATTTCGGGCATTCCTATGTATCAATTATTTAATTTTTGCAAATTCAGGTATTGATTAAAACTTTCTATGTTAGTTTCTTATTGAAGATATATAAATATGAACTATAATACCATATGAAATATTTAACATCTACAAGTAAAATTGAATGAATTATTTCAGCCAATATTAGTTAAACAACTGATTAAACAAAAATGAAAAGACATAGTTTTGCCTTAGAATTTCAAGTGATTCCTGTGTTATAGCTGCACAAAATCTGATAGGTCATACCAAATGTAGTGAATATACATTCCTTAACTAAGAGGTGGATTTAAGATTTTTTTTAAAAAAATATCCCTAGCTTAATATTACTTTTTTCCTGAAAAAATTCCATACTTGCCACAGGGTGGCTCCTTTGTTTATTAAAAAAAATCAGTGAGAATCATAGAAGTGGTTGATTCACAGCAGAAGATATAATCCAACAAAACTGATGCAGACATACCCACAACAGATCCATCACATTATTCATTCCCTTTTGGGGTAAGCAGTGTTAAGCCAAGTGTGGATACATAAGAAACAAAAATAGTAAGCAAAATGTTTAAAAATGAAAATATGGACAAGGAAAGAAAATACAGGACACAATTGATAAAAAATTCAAAATAGGCAAAATAAACATGGTTGAAGCTTACAGCCAGTGGTGAAATCCAAATTTTTTTACTACCGGTTCTGTGGGCATGGCTTGGTGGGTGTGATGTGTATTGGTGGGTGTGATGTGTATTGGTGGCTTGGTAGGCATGACAGAGGAAAGATATTGCAAAATCTCCATTCCCACTCCACTCGGGGACCAGCCAGAGGTGGTATTTGCCGGTTCTCCAAACTACTCAAAATTTCCGCTACCGGTTCCCCAGAACCTGCCAGAACCTGCTGGATTTCACCCCTGCTTACAGCATGGCATTGATAAGTGCAATAATTATTATTGAGTGACTCTCAGGGAAAACATGCCAGAAGTGTAAAGCCAGAATTGAGAATCCCTTTTCCAGTTCACTAGCACCCATTTAATCTCAGAAAATGATGAGAATATCATTAAACAGTGCTTCTTCCTTCATCTGGCATATGTTTGTACTTTTGTGGCTCCAGCTACTCGCTTAGTTTTTATCCTGGAAGAGATTTGAAATTAATTGTACTTGGTACTTGCAAAGATAGTGAATTCTCTTTTCTTTGGAAAACAGTTGGCCAAAGATTTAAGATTTTCAATAGCAGTGGAAATGCCTGTAGCAGGAAGAACTTGTTGATGATCACATTGTTTTCGTGACCTCCAAATCAAACACTACTTTGAGCAATTCCAACTGAGCTGCTAACTGTAGGCAGACAGAACTTCACAGTTCCACCGAGAGAGCTTAAACCAGTACCTTTGGCATATACTACTGTTCCAGTAGAAAGATGTCAGCTGCAAGGGAGAGACGATAATAGACACCTTATACACAAAATTGTGCGTCCTGAAAGACCCACTCTTCAGAAGGCAAACAACTTGCTCTTGTTTTCCTAGTACTTAATAACCATTTGTTTAGTGACCATTCAAACGAAAATAACCACTTCTTCAGTGATCATTCAAACTTACAGTGGTGCTTAGGTGCTGAACGAATGGTACTTATGTCTGTACTCAGTTCCAGTTGTTGTTCTCAGTCTGCATGTGATTGTTCAGCATTTGGATTGCAATTATGACATTGTAGCGTCACACAGTCACAGTCAGGAATTTGTGACTTTCTTTTCTATCTTCCTGCAAGCAAAATCACTTGTAAAGCTGGCAGGAGGTTGCAAATGCGACCATGTGAGATTGTATTTAATGATGATGTGGGATTTGTATACCAACTGGACATGCAGAACTGCCATCACTGAATGGCACAATCATGTGATACTGGGCTTTTCAATTGCATCACTTAGTAACAGTAATTCTGGTCCCAGTTGATGTTAGTAAGCAAGGACTATCTTAAGGTGGAAGTGGTAAAGATGCACAGGAATGTACTAGCTAGGAGTTTGGTAACTTCCTTCTAGACCAGGGTGGGCAACTGTGGCCCCTTTACAATCTGTGGACTTCAACTCCCAGAATTCCTGAGACAGCCAAGCTAGCTCAGGAATTCTGGGAATTGAAGTCCACAGGTCGTAAGAGGGCCACAGTTGCCCACCCCTGCTCTAGGCCAAAGCCTGGGCAATATCAGTGCCAAAGCTAATGAACATATTGAACTCTCAAAGCAACTTCTTAAGATAGATTACTTTCAGGATAAAAAAACAATATTTCCATCTAGATAAAAGGGTGGCCTGTCATACACATACATATTTCTGATCTTACCAGGACAGAATTGTCAAGTCTGTAGATGCTATAAAATTTGTTGTAAAAGTGAGATAGCAGCAAAAAGTCTTTGAATATATTAAAGACTCATATTACACAATGGCTCTTTTAAAATTAAATAAGTTTTCTGTTCTTTTATGCTTGAAAAGTTAATTCTATGTATGTATCCAATTAAATTGATATTCCCTTGGATGTATCTTTCTAGAAATCCATTTGAACTTACTGAAGAATTCATTGAGAATTTCAATAATGCCTCAGAAACAGAAAGAAAGGAAGCATTCATAGATCTGGCTAAAAAAATGCTTGTTAGATGCAAGGTTTGTATATATAGGATATACAAGATCACTTATAAAGACCATCTGTTGAACCTAAATGTTTATGGTGCTGTTTAAGACCTGAGAATTAATGAAAATACTTTTTACTACATTCACATTCACATTTACTACATTTCACATTCATTTTCTTTTTAAAGTTATTCATACAAAGATGTGCAGAAAGGACATTGTTAAAATAATTTGTATTTGGACACCTAAAATGTGTAAGAAATTGCCAGGCTGAAAATGCTTGAAATACTTGTTTTCTTTTTAAACGTAGTCAGGTTGAAGTAATTTCATGAAAACAATCTTGGCAGTGAGGAAAGGACATCTTAGTTTTTAATTATGGCCTCTTGTTCCAAGAAATGAGGAAAAAGAAATGGCCTGAGACTTTCCCTTTATAGTTAAGTTAAATATTGTTGTGGCAATCTAGTATAAAAATAAGGCAAAGTTACTCCAACTCTGACAGATTTATGTTTTCAAAGCTTACTCCCAAATGCCTGAAGATGTTTCATTGGATTGGTTTTGGGCACCATATGTGCCCTCTTCACAAACTGGCTCAGTGCAAGTCATTGCTGGAATGCAGAGCTTGTAATTAATTGCTCTTTGTTTCAAGGCACTTCAATTGATGGTAACAATATAATTGCACTCAGTATTTATCTTCTTATTTAAGTCTTAACTTGAGGGATGAAAACATTGCTATCTCGGCTAGCCCTTGTATTTTCTTGTCAGCAGTTCATTTTAAATGTTATCTTTAAGTAGAGTTTTGCATACTTTGACAATGCTATATTTTGCACTGCCATTCATTATGTTTCTGTTATTTATTAGAGCAGCTCCACTTTTCCAGTCTTGACAAAAGATGCCACTGCTTTAAGAGTCTTGTGCATTCCTTAAGCAACATCAGCAACATGTATTCTAAGCAGAAGGCTGAAAAATGTCAGGCTGCTTTAATGATTAGCTCAGAGGCACTTCGTGCAAAGTCTGAAGAATTTCTTCTGAATGTCTTCAGAATGTGCTCATTTCATTAGTTTTTAGTTCAAGTCTATTGTTAGCTTGGGGGGAAAATGGTATTATAATCTTTTGCTTCTTTCCATTTTATATTCTGGACAGAGACGATTGGGTCTCAACATATTAGGTTGTGGGAAGTATGTGAATCTTCCAGTCGCATGGACCGAGGCAATAATGTTATCGCAGTGCAAAGGAGAAATTAGTGAAGGTATGTTGCTTTTTCATTTTAATTGATACACATTTTCTCTTTTTGCTGAACAAATGCTGCTAAATTATGAACACAGGGGCCTCATTTTAACAAAGTATTTCATGGAAGGAAGCTGTTATGTCTGTTCAATATAAAAATACACAATTAGCTAAAATACATCAACATGCTATTGGAATAATGATGTCATTATGCAAATGACTTAAATTGATGCGCATGGCATAATTTGCTTAACATGCAAAATGTTGCTATTCCACAAGAGGTAAATCGTGCAGATATTGTAAAATTAAATCAATATACATTTAACTTGTCTAGACTACATTGGATGCAGTTAATCTTTTTTTGGGGGGAAATTTAGAAGGAAATTTATGCTGTTGTATCCAACATTGACTAAATGTTTGCTATCTTTAAAATAAAGCTTTTTTTCTCTTGGATAGAATATGCTATGCCTAAGATTTTGTATCAAGTGTGTTTTGGTCTTAGAATGATTCCAGTGGCTTAGATTATTTTCTTATTCTTACTCTTACATTATTTTAAATTATGGATGTGCAATCAGAAGCCTAAAAGCTGTATTGGGCCAATTATCAAGATTAGTTGGTTTGTCTATTAGTTGAAATGTATTTGTAAGAGAAATGGGTTGGGACAAACATAAGAATGCTGGCAGGAAGTAGCTAAAAATGTTAAGGTTTTGCTACCCTCTACTGGCCATATATTTTCATGCATTTCAGATATGCCTTAGTATGTAGCCCTAGGAAAGGGGAACACAGAGTAAAATAGAGTTAGAAAGGAAAAATAAAGGCAAGAGCAAAAGAATGGATTATAATTACTTCTAACTCGCCAGCACCAAAAAAAGTGCAAAACAAGAACACCTGGTTGTTCCACATGCTAAATTGGGTAAGTGTTTTAGGATAATAAAACGCTTGTTCTGATAAGTGGCTCTTTTCTACCCCAGAGTTCATAACATGGATTAAAGAAAGTAGCAACGTACTGCAGCCCTAAATCAGGGGTGAAATCTAAAATTTTTCCCTACCGGTTCTGTGGCGTGGCTTGGTGGGGAGGTGTCCTGTGACTGAGTGGGCGTGGCCAACTCAATGTCACTCACAGCCACGCCCACTCAGTCACACGACCCCCTTCCACCAAGCCACGCCCACAGAACCCGGTAGGAAAACTTTTAAATTTCTTTCTCTCGCGGCTCCGCCCACCAGCTGCCATTGCTACCCGTTCTCCGAACTACTGGCCATCATCGCTACCTACTCGCCCAAGCCGGTCCGAACCGGGAGCATTTCACCCCTGCCCTAAATATAAGATCTAAACTCAAGACTACAAAAGAAACTATTCTTGGTGTGGTCACCAGAGCCAAATGAATTTGGGCTTAGTTTCTAAGTTTGTGTCTGTTGAGAGTGTGAGCAAAGAATCAGTAAAACAGTTAAATCAAGGATTATCCAAAGAAAAGAATAATGGTTGCTTAAGATGAAGAATAAGCGTAAGATTTCAGGTACTGCTTGAATTCATCCAGGGCATCCATAATTTAACATTGTTTCAGAATGACTTAACATGTATGGATGCAGTCGTGGGTTTGTAAAATGACCAACTGTGGCTAATGCAATGAACCATAGCTGAGCAAACAATGCCTCCAATTTGATGCATGAAGTAGCTTAAATACTAGTTAGATTGTCACGGACCCCGACCAAACTGGTGGCCCGCGGGCTGTATGCGTCATGCACAGGCCATGCCCATCCCAGCTCTGCAAAGGCAAAAAAATGTTGTGATACGTCACGTGACATCACATGAAGTGATCGAGTTTGACACCTGTGAGTTAGGGGCTTAGAAACTTTTGCCTAGGATTGCAAAAGTACACAACAAAGAGCCAATAGGGTGCTGTGATTGATAGATAGAAATTTAGCCTTACAGTCCTTCATTGCCTTCAGAAAAAAAAAAAAAAAAGAGAGAGAGAGAGAGAGAGAGAGCTAGAAACAATAAGGGAAATAGAAGCTATTCTTATGCTGCTCTGAACTTTAGTGATCATGAGTTATGCAGAGTTAAAATACACTTGCTTTTTAAAAGGCATGCTATAAACTGGCCGGTTCAAAAGTTATCCAAGGTGGTATCTCTTAATGAGGAATACAATGCATAATTTTTCTACTGCAGGAAAATTTCCTTGATTCTCATTTGGGAAGGATGTAGGGAGGTACCTCTTCTTAATTCAGTTACACATGGAAGAAAAACACAAATGGAAACCTTTACTCAAAGTATTTGAATAATGTGAACAAAGCATAAGGCAAATATTGTATATTGTACAGATCTGAGTTCATTTACACTGATATGGATATAGAATGAAAGAATAATTATAAGTTATATTCATTTACTAACCAGTGACTATTTGAAACTAAAACATGTTTTGGAAAAAATATCTAGATTTCTCTATTTTGTTTAAATTTCTGATAGCTCTCTATGCTCTCAAGTCCCCTCGCTTTGAATAGAATAGAATAGAATAGAATAGAACAGAACAGAACAGAACAGAACAGAACAGAACAGAACAGAACAACAGAGTTGGAAGAAACCTTGGAGGTTTTCTAGTCCAACCCCTGCTTAGGCAGGAAACCTACACCACTTCAGACAAATGGTTATCCAACATCTTAAAAACTTCCAGTGTTGGAGCATTCACAACTTCTGGAGGCAAGTTGTTCCACTGATTAATTGTTCTAACTGTCAGGAAATTCCTCCTTAGTTCTAAGTTGCTTCTCTCCTTGATTAGTTCCCACCCATTGCTTCTTGTCCTACCCTCAGGTGCTTTGGAGAACAGCTTGACTCCCTCTTCTTTGTGGCAACCCCTGAGATATTGGAACACTGCTATCATGTCTCCCCTAGTCCTTCTTTTCATTAACTAGACACACCCAGTTCCTGCAACCGTTCTTCATATGTTTTAGCCTCCAGTCCCCTAATCATCTTTGTTGCTCTTCTCTGCACTCTTTCTAGAGTCTCCACATTGTTTTTACATCGTGGTGACCAAAACTGAATGAAATATTCAAAGTGTGGCCTTACCAAGGCATTATAAAGTGGTATTAACAGTTCACGTATTCTTGATTCTATCCCTCTGTTTATGCAGCTTAGAACTGTGTTGGCTTTTTTGGCAGCTGCTGCACGCTGCTGGCTCATATTTTAAATGGTTGTCCACTAGAACTCCAAGATCCCTCTCACAGTTACTACTATTGATTCAAATGGAACTTACTTGAACTAGCAATGCTTTTATAACTCTGCCCTCCCTTTATTCTCTTTTATTTTGTCTGTACCTGTTTTGTGGAGGATACTGAATTGTAGAAGGCCAGTCACATTTTTAGCTTTGAGAAGCAATCCAGTCATAGGCCTAGAATATATGGCATTGGTTTTTTTTTTTAGGATCCCTATGAATTTGAATCTAAATCCCTTTCAGACCATAAAGATCATGGACATATGAGTATGTTCAATAGGGGCCCAGGAACCAAGAACTCAAAGCTGAGAGATCATTTTATGCCACTCAAGGGGTTCCACTACTAGAAACCTAATCACCACCATGGCTCTAAGAGCTACTGAGCCCTCATAAGTCTAGAATGTGGCTAACTCATTTGTCATGACCCACACATGACTGAATGGTAAAAGTACATGCTTGAGCATGCAAAATATGCACTTAAAAATCAGAAATTGTAGCTGCTGACATCACAATTAATTATAACTTTTGTAGAGGGTCTATTTTCAATCTTTTTGTTTTGTACACATTCTTTCTCCCATGTAGAAATTCTGACCGCTTTTTGAAGATTAGGTAGCCCATGGTCTCCTTATCCCACTCTCTTCAGGCAGCCATTTCTATTAATTTCATTTGGCACTGGCATGGCCTGTTTGGCACCCCCGTGGCCTGTTCAGTGCCTCTGTGGCCCGTTCACGTGGCCCGTTCGCTGCTGCCGTGGCCTGTTCAATGCAGCCTATTTGCTGCCATGCATTTGCCGTGGTCCGTTCACCACTGCCGCGGCCCGTTCACCGCCTCTGTGGCCTGTTCGGTGTGGCCTGTTTGGTGCGACCCGTTTGCTGCCTCTGTGGCCCATTCAGCATGGCCTGTTTGGCGCGGCCTATTTGGCGCCGCCCATTTGCAGCCCGTTTGGTGTGACCCATTCACCACCGCCGTGGCCCATTTGCCACAGCCCATTTGCCGCCACCATGGTCCATTCACCACTGCCGCAGCCCATTCACCACTGCCACAGCGGTCAATTCTAGAACAGTTGATTGGCGCTGCACCAACCCCCTCCCCCTGCAACATTCACTGTATAAGACACACCAAAATTTTCATCCACTTTTGGTGGGGGGAAGTGCGGCTTAGACTATGAAAAATATGGTACATTCATCATTCTTTTGATTTCATTTTCAAATAAGATTGCTTTAGAAATTCTTTCTGAATTTAGATGTGAATAGGGTGTAATTTAGCATAATGTGTAAACTACTGAAATAATTTGCCTTAAATAATGAAATAATTATACAATGAATAAAATGATAATTGACCCTAAAGATTATGGGGAATTCTCTAAAATATGAATTGTTCTCTGTCTTAAAATCTTCGGAGAACAGAACATTTCATTTTTTTAAAAATGCCGGTGTATATCTTGTACCTAAGCTTTAATTTAGAATTGACAGTAGAATTAAAATAATAATTTTGAAAATACAGGGTGAATTAATAATAAAGTGGTTGGATAAGGGCAATAATAATGTGTTACCTGAAATATATGTTCTGGTTGGTGATTTAAAGCTTAATATGCAAAGTGAATAGTGACCATATTCTATACATAAATATGGTACTTTGTTAGTTTATATATTTATTCACTGCAGAACTAAAATGGGATGTCATTCAAAGAGATCTGGAACAAGATTGTTATGGTTTATCATGGATAAGAAATAGGGCTTTGGAATAGGCCATGGCTTTTCCCAATAGTTCATTTAAACTGGAACCAGTATGCAATTCTGATGAAGCACAGACTGCTTAATACAGGTAGTCCTCGAGTTACAACAGTTCATTTAGTGATTCTTTGAAGTTACAACAGCACTGAAAAAAGTGATTTATGACTGTTTTTCAACTTAAAACCATTGCAACATTTCCATAGTGATCAAAATTCAGATGCTTGGCAACTGACTCATATTTATGACAGTTGCAGTGTCCCAGGGTCAGATGATCACTTTTTAAGACCTTCTGACAAGCAAAGTCAATGGGGCAGCCAGATTCACTTAACAACTGTGTTATTATAACCACTGCCGTGATTCATTTAACAATTATTGCAAGACAGATAGTAAATGAGGCAAAATTCACTTAACAAATGTCTCACTTAGCAATAGAAATTTTGGGCTCAATTGTGGCCAGGATTACCTATACAATACTGGAGGTAGGAAGAACAAACTTAAAAGTGGGGCTGCAACAGCTTTTTATGTATTTATGTAAATTAAAATATCCATAGGATTGGATTCATTGATGGTAAATTATGAGCTAAAGCAGCATATCATATTAATGAGGTGGATTCTATGAAACAATTGGTTGGAACTATAGAAACCATGTACATAGATGGAACAAAGGTAGTACTCTCTTAAATATGCCCCCCCCCCCAAAGCTATTTTTACTGGTTTAATCATGGTGATCTTGTTTCCCAGAGCATGCGTTCACTTTCTAGGTTTATTAACATTCCTTGGCCTCCTAAATGTTTTATGGCTGAGCTGAGTGGGTTTTATTATTTTCAAGTTTCTGGGATGGTAATAGGAGAAGGATACTTGTGCCTTACTTTGCTTGTCTCTACTGGCTGCATATTTTTTCCTTTAGTATTTCTGTTCTATATTCTCAGGAACAATGGAATTATATGTGTGTGTGTGTGTGTGTGAGAGAGAGAGAGAGAGAGAGAGAGAGAGAGAGAGAGAGAGAGAAAGAAAGAAAGAGATTTAAAACTGAAATCGTTCTAAAACTTATCAGTGTAAATAATATTTAGGTAGCTATTGAATTGATTCAAATACAGGTGAAACTCAAAAAATTAGAATATCGTACAAAAGTTCATTTATTTCAGTAATGCAACTTAAAAGGTGAAACTAATATATGAGATAGACTCATTACATGCAAAGCAAGATAGTTCTAGCCTTGATTTGTCATACTTTTGATGATTATGGTTTACAGCTCATAAAAACCCCAAATTCACAATCTCAGAAAATTAGAATGTTGTGAAAAGGTTCAATATTCTAGGCTCAAAGTGTCCCACTCTAATCAGCTAATTAAGCCATAACACCTGCAAAGGGTTCCTGAGCCTTTAAATGGTCTCTCAGTCTGGTTCAGTAGGAATCACAATCATGGGAAAGACTGCTGACCTGACAGTTGTGCAGAAAACCATCATTGACACCCTCCATAAGGAGGGAAAGTCTCAAAAGGTAATTGCAAAAGAAGTTGGATGTTCCCAAAGTGCTGTATCAAAGCACATTAATAGAAAGTTATGTGGAAGGGAAAAGTATGGAAGAAAAAGGTGCACAAGCAGCAGGGATGACCACAGCCTGGAGAGGATTGTCAGGAAAAGGCCATTCAAAAGTGTTGGGGACTTTCACAAGGAATGGACTGAGGCTGGAGTCAGCGCATCAAGAGCCACCACACAGAGACGGATCCTGGACATGGGCTTCAAATGTCATATTCCTCTTTTCAAGCCGCTCCTGAACAACAAACAACGTGTTGTGACCCCGACTCCTGAGCCTGTCCTAACAGAGGAAGAGGACTCAGAAGGTGATGGGGACCATCTCCAGGACCCTCCTCTCTGGCAATGCCTCAGGTTCCATCCGAAGGCCAAGAGGAACAGCTTGGGATATGCCAGAAGGAAAGCATATCGGAACAACAACAGATAGGGAGTGAGGATGATGAATCCTGGCTTGATCCCAGGCAGCGTCGGAGGGAGAAGCGTGCGCAGCAACAAAAGAGGCGTGGGAGGGCCAGAGATTGAGCTGAGTGACTGAGCCACACCCCACAAGGAATAAAAGTGGGTGTGATTGCTTTTCAGGCTTTGTGACAATCAAAGTTAAAAACCTGAGAGTCACATTGTGTTACCTGAAATCTGGCTTGTGCATATTTGGATTGGACCTTGGCAAACTATTGCTTCGTGGATTACTTTTTACTACTGAATCGGACTGAGGATAAACTCTCTCTTGCTTACTGTGAGTGAAAACTGACTTGGCAGGCATTTCGCAGTTTACTGCCAAAACTCTTATCTGCAAGGGTTTCTAGTCTGATTGCTTAATAAAATCTTGGCAGGCATGCCTGGTTGTGTGTTTGCCTGTGTGGGGAAGGGGGATGGAACACAACGTCAGAAGCGTCTTACCTGGGCTAAAGACAAAAAGAACTGATCTGTTGCTCAGTGGTCCAAAGTCCTCTTTTCTGATAAGAGCAACTTTTGCATCTCATTTGGAAACCAAGGACCCAGAGTCTGGAGGGAGAATGGAGAGGCACACACTGCAAGATGCTTGAAGTCCAGTGTGAAGTTTCCACAGTCTGTGTTGATTTGGGGAGCCATGTCATCTGCTGGTGTTGGTCCACTGTGCTTCATTAAGTCCAGGGTCAACGCAGCCGTCTACCAGGAGATTTTGGAGCACTTCATGCTTCCTTCCACAGACGAGCTTTATGGGGATGCTGACTTCATTTTCCAGCAGGACTTGGCACCTGCCCACACTGCCAAAAGTACCAAAACCTGGTTCAATGACCATGGGAATACTGTGCTTGATTGGCCAGCAAACTGCCTGACCTGAACCCCATAGAGAATCTATGGGGCATTGCCAAGAGAAAGATGAGAGACATGAGACTGAACAATGCAGAAGAGCTGAAGGCTGCTATTAAAGCATCCTGGTCTTCCGTAACACCTCAGCAGTGCCACAGGCTGATAGCATCCATGCCATGCCACATTGAGGCAGTAATTGATGCAAAAGGAGCCCAAATCAAGTACTGAGCTTATACTTTTCAGAGGTCCAATATTGTTCTATGTACAATCCTTGTTTTATTGATTTCATGTAATATTCTAATTTTCTGAGATTGTGAATTTGGGGTTTTCATAAGCTGTAAGCCATAATCATCAAAATTATGACAAATCAAGGCTTGAACTATCTCGCTTTGCATGTAATGAGTCTATCTCATATATTAGTTTCACCTTTTAAGTTGCATTACTGAAATAAATGAACTTTTGCACGATATTCTAATTTTTCGAGTTTCACCTGTATGCTCTTCTATTTACAGAAGGACCTTCAATCCAGGAAAAACATGGAATCAGCAAAAATCACTTGCCTTTTCCATAGTTTTCATCTGGCAAATCATAAAACTGTCTCTAAAAGATTATGAAATTAAGGCAAATATAGAATAATGTTGCAGGAGCCAATCTGGGTCAGTCACCAGGTTCTGGATTGTTCTAGGGTAATCTTTTTTTTATCCTGGAATCTTCCATAACCAGAATTTCCAGCCAGCATGACTAAAATATATCAGTGTAAGCTTGTGAGTTTGAGCCCACATGGGAAAGAATTTGACAGATTTGTTATCGCTATTGTTTAATAGTTTTTAGAAAGCACAGATGTTGATCCCTCAGCTTCCAGAACTCTAAAGCCTCTGGAGACTGCTGTGTTATGGTCTCCTTGCAGGGAGCTACTGTCTAGAGTAATTGGAGGGTAATCTGAATCCTTTCCTTTTCTAGAGAAGAATTCCAAGAACTGGTCTTTTCACATTTTCTCATTCTGCTATGATCATCAGCTCCACTGTCAGTGGAGTCATCTTGAGATGAGGGTGGAGGTTCGTTTTCTGAGCTTGTGGGTTGGTTTCCGAACGTTTTGTTACCATACTAGGTAACATATTCAATGGAGTTTAGGGGATGTCAGAGTCAGTGTTCTTTTGTTTATAAGAATTTTGTATGATCAGTAGGTTTTATGATAGGGAGGTCACATCTTGAGTTCTTCATTGCTTCCCAGGGCCTCACATTGCACATTCTTGGTGGCCCATTTGACTTTATTAGATGGCTTTATTATGCAATAGTATTTAATTCACATTCTAGCATAAATATTTCAGCAACAGTTGATCAAAATTATGAGAGGGATGAGTTACATTAATTACATTTTCATCAGAATGATAATCAGAACCGGCAAACAATCTGGGGGAAATTGATTTAACACTTGTTATTTTGTTCAGAATTTGGCAAGCATTGTGTTGCAGGTGTGATGAGTATTGTGTGAAATATTAAGATTTTGTAGACTTGTAAAATATTAAGACCAATCTGAATTTGTTTTTCCTTTCCTTTTTTTCCTTTAGAAGCTCTTGAGATTCTTGGAATTTCATTGGATCATGCCCCCATTGCTCCAGAACACACCACTATTTTATTTTTTGTAGCAGAATGCATTTTGTATAAACTCTGTTATGACGCAGCACAGAAACCGTATCTATTCTCATGTGAAATCAAATTGTTGAAGGTATGCTATGCTTTTAATATTGACACACTGCTTCCTTATGTAGATATGTCATCTTCAGTGATTTTATATATACATTATATGCCAATATTCCTTTAGTCTTCTATGGAGACTTGCTCTTTCTGCAGGTTTGGGAAAGATTTCATAGTTCAGGAACTGCATCCGGTGATCACAGGTTCAGATTGTACCTGAAACTTTGTTTGCTTTTCTGATTATTTACTTTTTGCTTTTTTTGCTTTGGAATGTTTAGACTTTTTTTTTTTTTAGTAAGTAATGATTTTTGGTTAATAAGTAATGATTTTTTATGTTCACTGCTTTAAAGAAATATTACAGAAAAGTAATAAAGATCTCCCTTTTAAAAATAAAATGAAACATTTATCAATGAAGATTCTTAATCAACCAAGTAGAGTTGTCTGGAAGTTGATTCATGGCAACTGGACTTCTTTTCTTTTTTGGTTTGAAAGATTTTGCTGCTTATTCAAGTAGATTCTTCAGTCTGAGGCAGTTACTTAGCTAGCAGTTACAAAGCAAAAAAAAAAAAAATCCAGTTGCCATAACTTAACTTCCAGACAAAAATGAAATAACATAATGGCTAAAACGATTCTTTACATTAGGATAAACTAAAACGAGTCTACACTTTAGCAGATATACTGTATGTAATTATTCTCTGAAGACCCAAGTATGGATTAACTTGATATATTAATTTGTAGACTGCTGTTGCTTTTGAATTCCAAAGCAAACTAAGCACCAGCTAAGATCTAGGCAACAATTAAACTTCAAAGACCTTGTGCATAAACTTTGTTTTCAGACTTGCGAAATTATGCTACCTAACCCACCCATTAAAATTGCACACAGAAAGAAAGAAAAAGCATGTGCAAAATTACATTTCCCCCAAATAATGACAACAACAACAACAACAACAACAACAACTGCCTCAGTCATTGGACAATTCTAGTCATTAGATATACAAAAATGTGGCTTGGATAAAGGAGGTGAAGAAGGAAAAAAAAGGAAGCTGAAATGAAAGAATATATAATAACTGCAGAAGTGGTGGAGAAAAGATCAAGATTGGTCAACATCAGGTGAAGATGAAGGGCTCTGGGACTTGAGAATTTAAACAGAGAAGTCTCTGCCATGTAATACCACAGACTTAGTAGTTGTCAATAAGAAAGAGAAAAAAGTCTGGATGGTAGATGCTGTAGTACGTGAAAAACAGCAAAATAAAAGAAGTATAAGAATAAAAGAGAAAATCACAATATATAAAGACCTCCAAGTAGAAGTAGAATGACTGTGGCAAAAGCAACAAAGATTGTACCAATAATTACAGGCAGCTTGAGTGCAATTCTAAAACATCTGGAGCACCATTTGAACACCTATGGCACTGACAAAATCACCATCTGTCAATTGCAACAGGCAGCATTATTTGGAACAGCTTACATCCTACAATGATAATTTTAACATTGTCAAACAGCAACATCTACCTATCCCAGGTTCTTGGGAAAGACTCAATAGGTGGATAAAAATGCCAAATCCTGTCTAAACATCTGGCTAACTCTGCAACCAATCATAATAATATGTTTAGGCAGTGTAAAGATTATGGATTTTAATCCTGTTTTATGCACAACAGTGGTTGGGTGACTTTGAACCTGTCTTACTCTGTCAGCCCTAGGCAGTAATAAACTGCTTCTGAAAAGGTTGTCAAAAAAACCCTTCAAGGTGCAGTTGCTGAGAGTTAAAAATCTTTTGAGGACACACAGCTTTTAAGTTTGTACTTCAAGAAATACATAAACATTTAAAATGTCACTGTTACGTATATTTACAATTTACTTTCATGCTTACATTGTGGGGCACAAATTAGTACTTGTTTCAGAAATAGTTGGACAAAGCAAAATTTTATCATACATGTTATTGTTTGTATACTGGGTTTTTTGTTTTTGTAAGCTGCCCAGAGTCACTGGGAGTGAGTCATACACGCTTTCATAAATAAATAAAATAAAATAGTCAGACAGTAAAGGGAAAATTAGATCTGACTGCATCTCTCGGTGGAGATTATTTCTTAGGATGAGGTCAGACATTGAAAATAACTGTGTCTGGGATCCTGCCTTTCTCATTTACATATTTGGAGAACCTTTTGTGTCCTCAAACCTGGAACAGTAGTATGTAATGAAATAGTTCCACATGAAGCAGATGATAATAATTGAAAACAAAACAAATAAGTCAACAAAAGTGTTGTGGCTCCGTCCTCCGAGCCTATCTTATCGGAGGAAGAAGGCTCCGAACATGAAGGAGAGGAAACGGCCAGGCCTCCCTCTCCAGGACCCTCATCTCTGGCAATGCCTCAGGTGTCTCCCGAGGGAGAAGAGATTGGCCAGGAGCCAGGTGTTTCCGAGCCATCGGATAGTGACGAAGAAACATTGTGATTGGACCCACGCCAGCGTCGGAGAGACAAGCGTGCGCAGCAGAAAAGGAGGCGTGCCAGAGATTAAGCTGAGTCACTGGACCACACCCCACAGGCTATAAAAGGGAGTGTGGTGGCCATTCGGACTCTGTGACAGACAAAGCTAATCTCTGGCGAGTCACTTTGCACCTTTGGACACAACGCCTATTTGCTGTGGATTGAATTACAAACTGGACTATTCAAACTGTGTGTATTTTTGTCTGTGTTATTGGAGTAAAAAGTTCTTGGCAGGCAGCCACGGAAGTTCCTTATCACTGACGATTCAGTGTTTGAAGAAGTTTATTTAACCCTCGGCTGGCTGGTTGGGTGCGGGGACAGAACAAAAAGTTCCAAAATAGTATACCTTAAACATGGTTAAAAAGCTATAATCTAGTACAGAAAACGGATGTCAAACTCTCAGCGTCACGTTGCTGTCACGTGACATTTCGCGACATTTTTTCCCTTCACGGACCTGGGGTGGGCGTGGTCTGCACCTGAGGCATCTAGCTTGCAGGCTGCCAATTTGACACCCCTGGTATAGAATAACAGTGAGCCAAATGAGAATGCATTACTGAATATTTAGATAAATAAATATTTACTAAATCTGACAATTTATACATGGACGCTGACAAATACATAGATAGAAATTTATAGAATAAATAACATGTGTGTTTCTTTTGACAGCTTGGGTTTTTAGTCTTTTTAAGACTACTGCTGCTATATTTATTTGGTTACCAGAGGTATTCCGAAGAACACAAATACAGGCTTCAGACTGGCTTGAAAGGTAGATTTTTTTAAAAAAAATTCTGTTTCTCTTTGCTATATTTGTAACATATTTTGGAATCTTCTGTGACCAATCTAGTTGTGTTAGAAACAACAACAACAACAACAACAACAACATCAAAAGAAACTTGAGGGCAAATCCAGATTGACATCTTCTATTTACTCCTGCCTACTTAATAGGAACATGCAAGCTTTGACATAGGGAATGTATCTGGCCTATATTTACGTATATTTTATGACATCCTTAGCCTATTTTTACAAGCTGTCTACAAGTGATTGGTTCAAATCTTTGGCAAAAGCAACCTAGTCTTTTCCAGTAAGCATGGGATAGAAGGGTGAAGCTAGGAGAAAGAAAGGAAAGGGCATCACTGTTCATTTCTTGCTCTTCTGCTGGCAAACAGACAGACTGTCTTGATCTGATTATTTTTGACCTCCAGAGAATATAGGCATTAACCTAAAGGAGTTATCTTTAAAAGGGGCAACTCAAGAGAATATTGGCACTCACCACTCTGTTTATTCCCAATTTCCTTTCTTGAGGATTTTCATTTCTTTAATTTGCTTTTAATCTGTTTTAGAAAATAATGTTAATGATGGCATGTGGGGGGACTTCATACTGAGATCATACTTGGTTTCCTATAATTAATTGTAGGAAGAACTTGCTTTACACAGTCTGGTCTGGACTCATTTTGTAGTTTAAAAGAAAGTTATTTCTGCCAATAAATCTTTCATTGCAAGTAAAAATAACTGTTAGAACAATATGGTTCCATACCAAAGATCAGTTCCAAATTATGAATAGAATTTGCTCAACCTGAATTACCCTGAAGGCTTTTTGTTGTGCTGCCATAATCTATCATATTCCATGAGAAAGGGATTCTGCAACAGGTTAAATAATGTACCATTGCACTATTTTCTTAAGAGTTCCCTGAAATTTAAATGTGACAATCTAAGAACTTCATGCTGGTTAATGTGACTGAAAGAGCAGCTAATGGTATTTGACGACACCAGAATAGTTTTTGCTCACAAAGCTGGTATTTCTAATGAATGCTAAAGATTTCCCTAATATACATCAGATTTTTGGCATACATATGCATAGCCTACAGTGACTCAGCAGGCTGGGGTGGGGGGCAGGTGCTGATGCTGCTAATATTGCAGTGGTGTTGCAAACTTGCAACTGCTGTTGGTTGTCATGGCCACACATTCATTCCCAAAATCAAGAATATAAAGTCAGACAATTAAAAACAATATAAATGATATATTTATCCTCATTAAAGTATCCCTCCATGTGCAGTATCCAGTATAAAAAGATAATGACCCCCCTACCCCCCAGTATATTTCTCAATAAATGCTGTAATATGATATTGGATATAGATTGAAAAATGGCAGTGAAAAAAACTCGGTCCACAAAATATTTTATTAAAACCAATATATACATTTCATTAGAAATACCATTCACAGATTTGGGGTATCTTTATTGTCCTGATTATGTTAGTATTTTTAAAAAGTATTTTATTAATTTTTAAACTATGTTAGTAATTCTTTAAAGTGTGATTTCAGAAAACTTTACACATTGCAGCATTTTGCCATAGAAAATCTATTTAAAGAAGGTTCTCATTCCACTTGTAGCAGTACAGTAATGATCAAGTGTGTGTTCCTTCATTAGGGGTTATTGGACAGCTGTTTTTTTTTACATTGTATGCATATAAATATTTTAATTTATAATATTTTTAAGATGGATGAAAGCTGCCATTGAAATTCACTGACCTATACACAAAACAGCAAGTTAGTATTAAGCAGATTGTTTAAATTACCAGCTTGTTTTGTCTGCTTCATTGTTAGCAGCTGTTGCTTAGAAGAAGCACATTGAATCCTTCCATTTAATAAAGGAGACAATAGCCAGAGAAAAATTCTGTGTCCTGAGATTGAGGGATAGTAATTCAGATCTGTAATTTAATATAAACTGAATTAATTACACTTCCTACGTATGATTCAGCATGCCTCTACTCCTGCATTTTTGCCTAACTATTGGATTGCAGTTCTTTTATAAAAGTAGGTGTATAAAAAAATGAATAGATTAGAAAACATTGCAGATAAAAAGACAACCATTAAAGAAGATTACAACCTAAACCAACTGTTTTTATATAGATTTTTAAAAATTCTACACCAAGAGTTGTAAAAAGAAGAGGAAACATTTATGAAAAATATGTCAATAATATAGGAAGGAAAATGGACTTCTGTATCTTATACAGATTATAAAATTCTTCCATTAGAATTGTGCATGTAGTAATTTGTCAATCCACAAGAGGTCACACAATATTTATATATCCATTCTAGAAAATTCTTTGCTAAAGATACTTTTCATTCTAACAATGGTTGATATTACATAGTATCTAAAATTCAACAGGACAAACTAACAAGGTGTTGTTGTTTGTGCCATAGCATTAGCAGCATGTGAAATGTGCTATCAACTTTACCCAAACATCCTTTTTATGGTGCAATTTATGCTGAAGGCTGGAGAAATTATCTGTGAAACAGCAGTGGTTTCTGAATCACAATTAGAATCCCAGGAAAATTTAGAAGAAATGGAGGAAAAAGCACTTCATGACACAGTAGGTAACACATAATTGATATATGGTACATCAAGCAGCATTATGATGATTAAATAAGTAATTAAGTGAGAACTTTAGTAGTTGGAGTGGCAGATTGGCAATAGTAAAAAAAAAAAAAGATATTAATTATCCTGTTCAAAGCCTGGTTCTTTGAAATCTTCCCTATCAGAAGTATGTCAACCTAATAGGCATATGTACAGATATAGAGCATTGGAGCCAAATATTTATCTTCTTGACAGAAGTTTGTAAGTTATGAGATGTTGCATATAAAACCCATTTATCACCAATTTGGGTGGCCTCATCACAGAGACTCAAAATCATACTTAATCTTGGTTCCTTGGTGGAACTTTGTCTTTTTTTTTTTTTTGTATTTTCTGAAACTTTCCTAGTCCTCAGTTAGAAATGTGTGGAGAGTACGTGCTTGCCTGCAAAAAGACAAAAACTCTAGTTCATGAATAAGTAGTTCTAGATTAAATTTTAGGATGTTTTAGACACATCATATGAAGGTAAGAGATATTGAAGGAGTTTCTGATGCTTGGAAAATATCAAATTGAAAAAGAAGCCAATAGAAGTCAAGCTAGTTAGATGCTATCATGAGTGCTGCCACTAATGACACAAGCAAAAACTTACAGGTATTGAAGAAACCAATACTAATACCGGTAGACCATCCTAGTGAGTGACCAGTACTAACAGACCATTCTCGGTCACAAAGAGTTGGAAGTGACTAAAATAGTACTGTGAAAAACTCTTGCCTGAAATTCTGGAAGATTGCTTTTGAGATAGACCTGGTATTTATAACCTATGCTCTTCTTCAGGTGTGTAAGGCTACCACACTACATAATTACTAGTCATGCTGACAGTGATTTATGAAAGTTGTTCTCCAAAATATCTAGAAGGCTACAATTTACTTATCCCTGGAATAGACTAGGAATGGGAGAATGTGAATTTTTGGATTATATTTTCTGGCAATTTCAGGCATTATGATCAATGATGAGAAATGTTGAAAACCATCGTTTTAGAATTCAGAGCAGGTTCGCCTCCCCTGCTGTTGATAATTTGGCATTTCCCCCATTTTTCTCAATGGCCATGAAGTTGCAAATCAAACTATGTGGTGTAGAGAATCTTGACACCTTTCAAATCAAAAGCAGTAGATAAAACAGATCTTTTAATTTCAGGAAAGAAATCTTTGGACTCAGATAAAGAAACCTTCACAAACATAAGAATAAAACAATCCACACTTTTTTTTTTTATTCAATTTATATACCGCCCTTCTCCCTGAGGACTCAGGGCGGTGTACAGCCAAGATAAAAAACATAGGATACAAATATTAAAACATTTAAAAATATATATAAATTTTGGCCCGAAAGTTAAGAATCACAGACTAATTAAAAGAGTTTTGGTGGTGGTGAATTTTTCTTTGAGAGAGAGTATGGTTCTTTACCCCTTAAAGAAGCATTGGTCGATTCTTTTGTCAAGAAGCTGGACTAACATATACTGGCTAATTTTTGACCAGTAACCAATGTTTCCTTTTTAGGGAAGATTATTGAGAAATTGGTCATGTAGCAGCTTCAGAGGATTCTGTATGAAGCAGATTAACTGGGTTTCTTTCAGTCAGATTTCAGACCTGGGTATGGGATTGAAACAAAATTGGCTGTGATTTTAGATGGCCTCTGGTGGGAGTGGGATTGGATAGTGCATCCATCCTTGATCTCTTGGTGGCTTTACATACCACTAATCATGGTATCCTTCAGAACTGGCTGCAGAGGTTGGGGGTGGGTGGCACTTTATTGTGCTGGTTCTCTCTCTTCTTCCATAGACTGTTCCAGTCAGTGTTGATTGGGAGTGAGAGTTCCTGCCCCTGAACTTGACTTTGGGGAGTGCTATTGAGTTTGATGCATTCTCCACTCCTGTTTAATATTTTTATGAAACCACTGGAGGAAATTAACCATAGCCATGAGGTACTATCAGCATGCTGATGATACCTAGCTGTATATCTCCACCGTGATGATATCAGTGATGCTGTTTAATAGAATATTCTTTATTGACCAAGTGGACAAAGTAGGAATTTGTCTCTCAATGTAAGCTCTCAGTAAGCTCACAGTGTACATGCAAACAACACAGTAATATAATCATAAGATACCAATAATAGAATGTAATAGGAAAGATGAGAAGGACAATAGCAATACAGCCCTACTAGATGGATAAATATCCTTAGACATAAGAGAGGGCTATGGGAATTGTGAATTAGTTGACATGTTAACTTGGTCATTGGAGGCTGTGGAGGTCTGTAGGGAGACCAACAGATTGCAGATTAGGGGGCTTTGGGTTTTGGGGCCATCAGGATCCAGAAATTTACCATATTTTCTTCTAGACAAGGTGGCACTGCCCTAGACTGATCTGGTGCACAATGTGGGGGTCCTTCTGGACTCATGACTTCTGCTTAAAGAGCAGATGACAGCTGTGGCTAAGAGGGCTTTTGTACAACTTTAGGTTGTACACCAGTTAACCCCATTCCTGGAATGACTGTGCTCAGTCACTTATGTCCTGGTCATCTCCTGCATGGATTACTATAATGAGCTTTACAAGGGGCTTCCTTAAAGATCATCCAGAAGTTTTGCCTGGGGCAAAATGTGATGACAAGGATGGCTACCAGTTTGTTTCCAGGTTCAATTCAAAGTGCTAGTAATCTATATACTACTTAATCTCTATTGTCTGTCTGTAACCTTCAGTAAGCCACAATGGTGCATCATAAGGCAACAATTTTTTGAAACAAGTTATTTCAAATGGGCTAACTTAAAAATGTGTCCAAAATTGAGGATCTATTGCTTCATGTAATTAAAATTGAAGGAACTTCATAAACGTTGTATTTGTAAACAGTCAGCTGTAGTCCTATTATTGTGATTTCTGATGCTCCTTGCCAGCTTCCCACTAGCAAAGTCAATGGGGAAGCTGGCAGAAAGTCAGAAATCACTTCTGCTCCCACTGCTTTTTCCTCTGCCCATGGCCATTCTGTTTAGGTAACAAGAAATATCTCTGAACTTATGGCTCAATGAGTCATGGGTCATCTAGTGATCTATAAAGCACTACACAACATGTGATCAAGGTATTTGAGGGACTGCCTCTCACCAATCAAGTCTACCTGTTCCATCAAATCTGGCAGAAAAGGCAGGTCCAATCCAAGAAGGAATGTCATTAGCGTATGCGTGGTCTTCAATTTGAAGTTGCCAAGTTTGAACAACACTGACTTAGAGCAAAGGCAGCTTTTCAAAGAATTTCAGAATAATTGCAGGTATGACCCTTATGGATCTCTGGAGAGATGTCTTTTAGGTAGCATATTGGAGAAGGTGTGTCACTTAGGTCCTAATAGATGATATTGTTTAATTGAAGGGACCTTGAGCACAGCCACACTGCCCAATCTTACTTGGCAGGCAGAAACTGTTAGTCCCTCAAATAACCAATTTTTCCTTTGAATTAAGAGGCAGGCTTGACATATATTCTGATATAAAAGCAGTGGATAAACTAACAGATTTTTCAGGACCATAGATGAAGAATAAGACAGAGATAGAGTCTAAGCTTCAGATTTTAAATTAAGAGAACCAGTTTTGCTTTAGGAGATGACAACTCCTGATTTACAGTGCCTTGTGAGATTGTTTGCTGTTAAAAATTATTTGCTGTTGCTGTGACATATGTTTCTGATTCCAGCAGGTTCTGCTTAGCCAACCAGCAGCCCTTCACTTGTACAGTGTTGACAGATTCAGTGTCTGCTATTCTGCATGGTTGCAGATATCCTTCTTCCACAACACCCTGCAATGGCCTGGGTGATTTTTTTTAAGTGAACCATGATATTGGCTGCTGGAGTTTTTCACATCAGCTGTACTACCATGATGAATATTACTTTTTGCCCAGATAAAACAAATTTAAAAGATGCTGCATGCATTAGGAACACAGGTACTTCACTACTGCTTCAGTACTAGCCTAGATTATTATCCATCTAAACCTGTATTGTCTTTGCAAGGTGCCCTATTGGACTTCAAAATATAATCCTTCAATTTGTTAAGTTTTTTTTCTTAAAAAAAGATAAAAATCTTGTATGAATGATAGCTATAATTTTTGGTAATGACCAATATATTGTGATTGAAAATAATAGGTCTGTGCATACTTCAAACATGCGGAGTCACAGATCTCTAGAACATCAAATAAAAATGTACTGTTCTCTAAATACAGTATTTATGTCTAGCTTTTCTATTGTTTAGGACCATCTTAAACACTTGTCTTAGGGATATTCAGAAAACAAAAAATGAATTCTTATTTGGCCTAGCTGCTGTCCTAGAAGAAATGAATGTTTTTGTGAGATGGTAGGTTTCCCATCAGTTTTTAGTAAGACACTATTGTGCCTTTGCTTCAGGTGGAGATGGGAGATCCTATGATGCAGGAAATGGGACAAAACGTGAGTTCCTGCCAATGCAGGCCCCGCCACCTCATAAGACTGAAGAAACAAAGCAAACCTACATTTATCCTAAAGCAGTAGTTGATATGGTTAACTCTTGCATTTAATTGATTAAAATTCCACAGCTTCATGGAGACATTCAAGAACAGTGCTGACTCAAAGTGGTGCCATTCCTGCTTCCAGAGAGGCTCTTATTTGTATCCTAATCTTACAGGTTTAAATTAATGCAGTGCAGAAGCTGGAGCACCTCTTCTCTATTTTTCAGCATGATCTGGAATGGAAAACTCAAGGGCTAGAAAGTCTGGAAGTTATTTTGTTTTAAATGACCCAGGGTTCCTGTTTTATTCTTCCTGGCTTCCTGAAGAATATTACAGAGATGTGTTCTGCAAGTTTGAAAAGTTTGAGGAGTAATTTATTATCCAGAACAATTTAATATATTATAAAAACTGAGCTCCATTAATAGTAATTGAATCACCACCCTGATATTTTTAGCTCTCTCTTAATAATGTCCCTGAAATGTTTTCTGCTCTGTTACTTTTTATAGAGAGATTCAAAATTATGCCAAAAGAATGGGAGTTGTTTAAATAAGGAAAACAAAAACAGAGTTATAAAAGCAGGTTGTATATGGAACTGAAACATGGTGGTGTATTTCACCTATCTATTTATTCAGCTCACATGATTGCTTTGAGGATGGGCTACCTGAAGAAGCCTCAGGCACAAGTGATTAGGAGGAGATTTTTTGTTTGTATGCTAAACATTAGTACTTAAAGCCTTCTCATATTAAATATGTGTACCAAACTTTTCAATTTACCGTAAGTACTTTTTGAAGAATTGGTTCTTTAATTGGACTATGGAAAAGCCTTGTATCAGCCTAAATTGTAGTTTTGTTCATGAATTTCTTCCTCTAGCAGTTCAGAAGTACCTTGTCCCCCTCCCCTATCCCATCACATTTATGAAAAAGATGCTCTTCTTTTTACATGCTCAGTTAAGCTGAAAATGTATTCAAAATTACTAAACTGGATTAAGAATATTGGGTATCTTTTTCCACATGTTACTGTGACAATAATATAAGTAAATCTCCCTAATCGCAATACAGCCAAAATAGTATAAAACAAATATAAATCAATCATCCCACTCCCCAATTATAGGAATCATGGAGTCGCACGAAGTTATAGACAGGCCATATGTAGGGGAAAGTAAATGTATAGCTCAGTGTTTCAGTTAATTGTCTTACATCTTTAATTGAAATTTTTTTTTAAGATTATAAAGAAATCAGTACAAATTAATATTTTTCTTGATTAAAACAGTTGCCATTGAAGTTTTATCCTTCATTATTTGAATAAGTGACAGATTGAATCACAATCATTAAATGAAATAGTGATATTGTGACACACGTTTTTGTACTTAAAACTGGGTAATCTTGATCCAGATGGTTTCAATTTCAAATGATGCCTTCTCTAAATTTATATTAAGATAATTTATATAAAATTATTTTCATGCCAAAATATTATTTGCATTTAATTAAAATAAATCTTAATTAAAATTTCTGGTGTAGTAGTTCTTTATTTTATTTTTTGTGAATGATTCTTAATATGATCCCTGTAATTGCTTATGATACAAAAAGGGAAAGCATCATGCATCATATATCGTACAAAAGCTGTATCCTCTCCCATCTTTTGCAATATTGTAAAGATTCCTGAGAGTCTTTTTTACACATGCTTAAAATAGCACAATGTTGTATGTTAAAAAATGTTCAGGCATCAACCTATGCAAACGGCTTATTTGTTTATATATGGAATCATTCTTATGCCATCTATCAGATAAGATTACAGGGCAATATATATGGGGATAAAGTAACAATAAAAAACTAGGGCTGAAGACTGATTAAGTCCAATTTTCAAAACCAAGTCACCCTTACTATTATTTGTTCCAATTGCAGCCATTTGGAGTGGTGGTGAGATTGTGGTGTGTTGAGAGTAAGAGAAATGCATTTATACATTGTACAAACAATCCATCATTTCTTTATATCACTTAAAAAGTATTTGGATGGTTCTATATTTGAAGCTACTCTCTCTTGCAAATAACTGATTTTTTTGGTCAACCTATTTTCCATTCTCATTCGTCCAATGTTTGCTTCGTCAATTGTGCTAAATGTAATTTTGCTTTCCTTACCTCTTCTTTGCCTTTTTTTCTACATCAGCAAATATTCTAGGTTCTAATATTTTACTTAAAGAAAATTGGTATCATTCATCATCTCACTAATTATTAATTAGTTTTTTACTACATAAAGCTATACAAAAATGTGTTCTTTCTTTTTTTAAAAAAGTGATATCCTTTATCCCTCTTCTCAGTTCTGCTTTGGCTCTATTGATAAGTATGTTTGAATTAACATATTAGGCAGTGCCATCAAACACCTACACACCAGTTTCTACAACAGTTGGAAATGTTCATTCCCCCATAATAATCTAATTTCTCTACTAACTCTATCCTATGCTGGTAAAACACACAAACCTGTCTCAAGATGGATTGGAAAACTTCCACAGTAGAGATCCCAACCATAAAGCAAGAATGGGATGTTCACACATAGTTCTACTTAAAAATTAATGCAATACAATGAAAAACTAACATCAAAGAGCACAGTGAATAACAGCAAATGAAATATTTTATTTTTTTGACTGCTGTTTATTTTTTTTTAAGAAAACAATAGCAGCAACAAAATGCAAACACCACAAATGCATAATGAAAATGAAATTAGAGGAATTCAGCATGAGAATATAATACTATTAAAATCAAATTTTAGTTAAAAAGAGATTCAAATCTGTGAGGAGAATTGCCAATTAATTTTGTATTTGCAGTGTATTATTAATGGATTTAACTTTTTGTTCTTTTTGGTAGACATCCACAACTGCCAGCTCAGCAGCTGAGTCAAATTCCAAACAAAAGCAATTCAGAATTAAGCCATTTCTTTGGCACAGCCTTCTTGTTTGGGTTTGTGTACATAATAGCAGCTCTGAAATAGATGCAGTCCTCATGCATGTCCTATTCTATAAGGAACAGCTTCATCAAAAAAACTGGTAAGGGCAATCTTATGACTTAGATATACCCTTGATGGAAACCACTTTTGTGCTGAAATGTTAAATAACCTTTATGCCTAAATGTTAATCACTCTACAGTTGCTTGTCAAAAAGATTTACAATTTTTGTGCCAGAAAGAGAAGCAATTTATATACTTTGTATTGCTTCACTTTATCTAGAAATTGTTTCTGTCTTTTTGGCTAGGACATTTACCAGTCTGCTTTTATTAAATTATGTCTGTTATTGATAGCAACTTCATTTCATGATTACAAAGTACAGTATCTGTCACATAACTAAACAGCTGCAGTGCAATGTGTCAATCCTTCTTCTGGGACCGATACTTGCCTTCATTTTTGGGTGCTCTTTATGCAAAGTGTAATAAAACTAATTTTGCATGCTTACAATTAATTTTATGCTGGAACTGTATTCTTGATTGCTTCTGTTAATTGAAGCCTCAACAAGTTATAATTGCAAACTGCACTCATTGGAACTTTGCCTTATGCTTAAACTATTTTGCTAAGAAAAATTTTCTCAGATATACAAAATTATATGGAATTACAGGAAAGCTAATGATATCCCTGTTCTGTGATTTTGGTCTGAGATCTTTTTGGTGGGTTTAGAAGTTGGCAAAATGGAGTAAACGCAATGATTTTTGAGGATTAATTTTGTATTTCTTATGTTGAACAACATGGAGGAATGCCAAACTCAGGTTATGTCTTAGCTGAATGTCAATTGGACGTGCATGGCTTCCATTTAAAAATAACTTCCATGGTAACTTTAATTTTATGTAGAGCCATGAGTTTTATTTCCATTGAATGGAGGAGGGAAGCATGAAAAAAATGTGACATGATTGAGGCTGCAATTACAGATGTTTTAGGAGTCAAACAGCAGTGCGGTGCAAGGAGGAGGTCACACTGTTTTGCCTAGCTTAATCTTATAACCAGGCAAAGCATTCCTTGAAATCTGCACATCTCTAATGTGGATTCTTCATAGTGTTAAGGTGGTCTGGAGGTCCTAAACAAAAGTGAGGAGGCATATCACAGTGTAAATATTGACAGAGGAGTTACTAGACTAATCTCACTGAATACTGGAAGGCAATACCCTAACTATTTGCCCAAGCATCAAGAGATACTTTGCTGATTCTGGCTCTTTATTGAATGACTTTTTCATGTAAAGAACACTCATCTCTGCTTAATTGCCTGCTAGACCCTATGTTGCCTTTAGGCTAGTAGCTGTGACAATATTTATAACAGTAATAACTAAGGAGCCACAACATCAACATCACTTAGTGAAACAAATTCAAGATGATGGTTAATTTATATAGTTTCTGCGTAATCAAATCTTCATAAATTCTAGAGTACATATGAAAATACTTGTTTATTTTTGCCTGTTTCCTCTGAAAAGTATTATGCATAATAATAGAATGATATTTCTATATACATTAAATCCATTAATCTTTTCAGAAGACGAAATTGAAGTGATATGGCAATTTGGAAGACTATTATTCTTGTTATCCCTATAACAGTGAGAATCTACACTTATTTCTAACTTCTTGGCTTAATATTGATAAGCAAAAGAAAAAAAAGAAAAGCTCCATGTTCTCTGAAATGTGCAGTCTTTTTTAATGAACCTTAAAATGCTAATGGTTCAATGGTGCATTGGAGATAAGGAATTTATCCATAATTGCATGTTTTCAAGACGGAGCACGTAAAAGCCATGCTGAGAAATATTATCCATAAGTATCTTTTTATCTGAGATAGTGAATTATAGGATGCAACAGAACACACTAGGTTCTTCATAATGGCATACAATGGAATGCTTAAAAAATGTAACCACTCTCTCCCCTTCCCTTCCCTTCCCTTTTCCAGAAAATACTAAGTCTTTAGAGAGGGTATTTACATTTGAGTAGTGACCTTATTTTTGTTGTTATTTCTTAAATTTGCTTCTCAGCTGCCCCAGGATGAAAACTTGTTTTGATATGTAATACACTGTTAAACCACAGTGTTGGTTTTAATTTAACCCAACCAATGGGTGTCAAACTCATGGCATCATGTTGCCGTCATGTGACGTATCACAAATTTTTTTCCTTCGCGGAGCTGGAGTGGGTGTGGCCTGCATATGACGCATCTGGCCCGTGGGCCACCACTTTGACACCCCTGATTTAACATTTCAAAAATAGTAGCCTTTGCTGCTTAAAAATTATAGTGAATAGCTGTGGAAAATAAAAATAATATTAAGTAGAACTAATGGTGAATTTGCTAGATGTATTTTCTTTTTCAATATGAACAGCCTAAGTTAATTCTTAATAACAATCAACTTGTGAAATATTTCCTTGCCCAAATACTAGCTTGGTATTTGGTGTGGAGTTCTAATTCCTAATAATTTCATGAGGTTGCATACATTTAATGCACAAGGAAATATTATATTGCTTTAAGATATATTATTTACAGAGTTGTACTGGTGCATTCTTTAATCATTATTTACTTACCCATTGCACAATTTAGTAGTGTTTCTTTTCTTGGTGTACTGCTGTTCAACATTAATATTCCTATTTTTGCTGATGACATATATCAAGTTTGACTTTTGATCAGCTGTGGGGAATTTGGCTTTTTCTTCACTTTTCTGCTGCATTTGCAGAAGTCCTTAATGAGGGCTTTCATTGCTTATGTGTCCTCTTTAGTTTGTGCACATTTAATTATAATCATGTCTCTACAGTAAAGCACGCAAAATGAAATCAATAAAGACTTAGTACTGCTTCCAGTATTCATAGGTTGACTTGATCATTACCTTTAGAGAGCAACTGAATGGAACAAATTGTTGAATCTTTTTTTCTTCTCAGACAGGTTTGAGCAAATTGCGCTTATTGTTCAAAGCAGAACGTGAACAACATAAGCCACAGTCAATTCCAGTCTGCAAATACTATACAGAAATATTTATTGGAAGGATGGGCACAAAACATGCAGACTTGGCAAATTAGGGCCGGTGCCCTGTTGGATTTATTTTCTAAATGCAAAGTTATTCTGAACATTGAGTGTACTCCCACAGTTTAGTTAGCCATTCTTCTGAAGAGGGAATCAATGAATCTTTTTCAATGAAAACCATATAACATATTTGCAGTTGTTAACATATCCAAATTCCTATGGATGAGAAAATAAGGTGTGAATTAAAAATGATAACCTGAAGAACTCTAATTACAGATAAGTAGGCAAATGGTTTTATTATTTGGAATGAAAGACAAGGTCCCTCTGGGCCTGCAACTAGAGCCCTTATCTATGTTAGATAAAATTTGAGTGGCTACTCAATATAGCCCTGTGAGGGGATTTGGAGGAAAAGTTGCCATTATTTTCATAGAAACTACAGAAACAGCAGGAACTGCTCTGTCAGATCCTAGTAGTCTTATGATAGTTCGGTCCATTTAAAAGATCTTTGAAGAGTTAGTCCCAGTCTCTTGCTTGACCCTGGGAAGAACATGAATGGGAACTACTCCCTAGAAATCCACCAATTATTTTTAAGGAGATCAAGGCTTTCAGAAAGCATTCTGAGGTTTGGAATAATGTATGCAGAATTATATCCCTGAGTGAATGGAATGAAGTTTTGCTCTTTGGCAGAAAATGGATGACAAGGTGTAGAATTATTTTGTTTTTATTCACAGCAAGGTATGTATGTTGATTGGGGAATGCACAGGTCATTAACGTGCCTGGCAAATATCACAGAAATGAGAAATATAATGTTCTAAGCAATAAAAAGAATACATGATACTCTTTAAAAGGAATATACTATATGACCAAGAGTTCAGATGGTTTCAGCATTGTTCTAGATAAGCTTCAAGTCAATATAAAGATGGATATAACTGAAGCAAAGTCTTCATGAAATCTTTAAGAGATCTGAATGCAAATCCAAAAACAATAACAAAGAAATGACAATTAGAATGATGTGATAGCTGTAAGATACATAACAAAGAAAAAGAGCAACTGTGGGCATCTAAGAGAGTATGTAATTGAGACAGAACAATGATATGAACTGTGATTTCCACCATGAAATCAGCCCAAACACCCAGCTACTAACTTAGTTAGGAAAGGGATCAGCAGGAAGATGTGAAAGAATGATTTCATCCAATTTATCCAATTAAAACAGCAACATGTCTTCCAATAGTGTGCTCTTATCTTTTTTTTACTGCAGAAATAGACACAGAATTACACTTGGTGGGAATTCGGCAATGGTAGATAATCATCCAATTGAATGATGTGCTTTTCACTTAGGAATCAATTTGGAGGCATCGTTTAACTTATTTATAGACAACATTTTCAACAATGTATGATTTATAATATAAATCATATAGGATCATGGACCAAGTCCCTTAGTTTTAGAGTGTAATGTAATAGCCAAACCAATTTTATATATACAACAAAAATATTTCTAAAGGTCACAGGGTTTTGAAATCTGCAAGGAGTCCCATTTATTTATATGAAAAAAGTATTTCAGATTCAGAGAGGATAGATTGCACTCTGCAACTTATCATTAACTGAGGAAAGGAGTGGAAAAGACATCACTTTCAGAAAGTTGTCCAAATACTGTATATTCATCTTTAAAAGATTGGATAGCTTATTTCTGGCAGAGTAGATTGTAGTACCAGGTACGCATTAGGGGTCTTTATAAATATATGTTGACCAAAGTAGCATTGCCATATATTCTAAAACTAATATGCATCAGCTGAGTCATCTTGCCCTTCCTAGAGACAATAGTTTTTATGAGATGTTGACATGAATGAGTCATACTGAATGAATGGTTTGCTCCTTCAGTGTATCTAGACACCATGACATCTAGACAGTGGACAGATGGTCATCAATTTCAAGAAAGTGGCGAAGCAAGAAGCAGTTGAGAGAAAGTGTAGGCATTAGGCTAGAGTAGATAACTTCCAATGCTTGCTCCAAGCTTCTGAATAGTTTTTATCCCAGAGTTATAATTGCACTCAACAATGAACTAAAGGGCCACCATCAGTG